TGGCAGAGCACTGGCACAGGCTGCCCAGAGAGGTGGGGGAGTCTCCCACTCTGGAGCCATTCCAAACCCGCCTGGACGCCGTCCTGTGCCACTGCTGGAGGTGTCCCTGCTCTGGCAGGGGGTGGCACTGGGGGAGATCCTGAGGGCCCTTCCAACCCTGACCAGTCTGTGATTAGCTCACAGTAAGATCTACGTTACTTGGGTTGTTTAATAGCTAACTTTAAGACTAGACTCAGCTACTTCTTGGTGGTCAGCTTTTAGATTACCCACTAAGCAATCAGCACAAAGCAATACAGATGGAGAACAAATCTGCAGGATGCATTTCCTGACTTGCTGCTCATACCTTTGTACCAGCTGACAGACGGCTTGGGAGCTCCCGTAACTTTGCAAGCCAGCTTGACTGTCTCGCCCAGCTCAGCTGTACAGTCCGCCAGTTCTTCCTCAAAGTCTGGAGGTACTGAAACGTCAGAATAAGCACATTAGTCTGGAGGAGGGGGGCTCTGACCGTAGGATGGCTGCTGCAACGTAAGGTAAGAATAGGTATACTTTTTGTTTTGCAAATCTGTGAGGTTCAGAACGGAAAGCTGAACACGGAATTTTAGCAGCTAATGACTTTGCAGGTGACATGCTGCCCTTGCTTCTCTGAGACTAAATTCAGTCTGTCAAATGTCTGCTGTTGGTTATGAAGATGGGCCATAAAAAAAGAATGGGATTTGTTGCTGATCTGGAAGTACTTTAATAAGCACATCTATTATTCAGACCCCACACAGCTGTCACAGTTAAGAAAATTCCCCAATTAAAATGCACCCCTGATATCCAAACCAGTATTCTGTTGGTCTCCATACAACAAAATCTACGCTTTGTTAAGGAACTTTTATTTTAACTTTACTACCATATGAAACTATGCAAAATCACTCTGATAGTCTTCCTCCTTAAAAGAGCTCACAGAAAAATGGCATGGAAATAAAATGCCCATACTTGTTTTCAGTGTGTATACACTAAAACCAACTCTGTTCTGGCATTTTAAGATGCCAAATTTCCTTACGCTGTAATGGACAGCATTTCTAGCTTATACCTGGACAATAAAGATGTATTATCCCTGCTGATAATTTTTTTTGGATAGAAAATTAGTGGAATCTCCAGTGACAGTGAGGATGAAGCAGCCTGAATGACAGCATAAAAATCCAAAGCAAAACCATGTGCCCAGATACAGCAACGTAAACCAGAAGTCGAATGGAGCATTCGGTATCCAGCAAAGTCACTGGGGGGGCTTTACACTGGTATGAGTTGGACTCTGAGTCAGGTTCTGAGGCTGCTTTTCCCACTGGAGGCTGATGCTCTTCAGGCAGCGGGCCAGGGCCTTTGTCACCAAATTCCCTGGTCACCTACCCTTCTGCAATCCCTCACAGATCAAACGCGTCTCTAGTGCCAACTCTGCAATTTGCATTTTAGAAGTTTCAATAATGTCTTGCTCTCCTCCAGTGATGCCCATTTTCTGGGCTATGTTGCGGGAAAACAACATCCTCTGCTTATTGACAAAAATGTATGAATATGAAGGTAAGGAACTGAGCAACCACTTCAGCTCTGACTCAGATCCTCCATCAAAGGCAACCCACGTCAGTTGAAACGGCCGGGTGTAGCCAGCACTTCTCAGCTCATCAGCCTGTGTTTTCCTCACTTGGGTTATGGACATTGAAGAGGAATTAGAAAGTTACTCATCTGCTCTGCTATTGCCCAAAAAACCTACACAGGTCCTGTGGGACCTCTGTCATGTGAACTTAATCACTTCAGTGATATACAGTCTGGGCTCCTTTGATGGTAAATGGAGAGAGTCAGACACCACTGTCCCATCCTGGCAAAGATGACTTCTCCAGCTCAGGTGGGAGACTCAACACTGCTATAACCATTCCCATTAAAGCTCACTGCTTGGTATCAAGGCATGTGACTTGTGATTTACAGCAGTCTGTGATGTGATTAAAGGAAAACCTCCAACCCTCGTTCAGCTTAAGGGATGGCAAATCACCCTAAATGGTTTCTCTCCCTCTGCTAATCTCCTTCCTGAATCAGGGAGACCACCCGATAAAAAAGTAGGAGATTTGGGCTATCTTGGGCCATACTCACTCCAGAGAGGTTCACTGATGCGCTGCTGTATGCCACAGATCTCCTTCACCCAGGAGTTCTTGATATTCACTGTGCGTGCCTGAAGGAGGTACTTGCGGACCAAGTCTTCTCGTTCATGCCAGATCTCAAATGCCCGGTCGTCCCCTTCCACAAGGTCGTTCACATCTATGTTGTTCAGCTGCGTGACAGAAGGACAAGAAAGTCAACACACATCCTGTGTTCTTAGGGCTGAATTTCAGCCAGAACCTTTCCCACAGCCGACATCCCAGAGTTTAGGACAGTCCAGGTCTGGACTGAGCTTCTGTGAACCAGAATGGTCTTTGGTGAAAGTTTGAAATGGAAACAATTATTAAACATCAGCAAGTCTCCTGCTGCCAGTGTGTACCCTCTTCAGTGGACATGAGTTGTGCTAATCCCATCAAAGCTATATGGTATGATCCAACAGCAAAAGGGATAATTTACACTACTTTTAAAGATTTTTGAGACTGCATAAGCAATGCAACGTGGCTTTGGCTGAACAGCAGTCAGGGTCACTTTGCAATCCTGTCCCCAGGATACTTGACTTTCTGGCTATCAAAGAGACTTTTTCCCGGGAGTAATTATCACATTTCAGGAAAAAAAAATCCAGCATTAAAGGATATCCCAAGGGTGGGACACACTGCGCCTACAGTGCAGCGCTGTTGGGTCCAGGAGCAGCACAATTAGGGACTAGATGAAAATAGATTACGGAGCAGGCACTCTCCAGACGAAGCATCCTTTTTTTCTTTCTTGGATACTAAAATCTGCCTGTGAATATCAGCGAGGAGAGAGATAAGGACTTTCAGAAGGCCCTGACTGGGCTTGGTCAAGAACTCCATGGGGTTTTTTGTATGGTGGGTTTTTACTGGAGTTGAATATCTCATGCCTTGGGAAAACTCTTTCGGCAATTTCTTGCAGTTTTAACCTGAGCCCTGAATGTCTGAAGATGAGCTGGTCAAATCCTCTGATTTTTTCATTTTTAAACAGGAATTGGTGTCAGCAAAGGACATAACCTTTCCTGGAGGCATTTTCTCCAATTTAATATCAACACTACAGACTGCCCCAACCAAAGAGCAACAAGTGCTAGATTCTCTTTGTGCTTCAAAAACTTCCAAAACCAAAGGAATAGCTCAAAAGTGTTAGTGAAATGTCCCCTTTAGATAATCAGAAGCTGTATATAACTGTGAAGTTCTCAATGACAGAGAAATGCTCTAGGTGAGGATCATTATATCCTCACCTTCATGATGTTCTTGAAGATGTAACTGTAGGTGTCTGTCCTTGTGTCTCGTTTCGGTTTGCAGATCACAATATAATTTTTGAAGAGGAAAACATGTCTTTTGTGACCTTTCCATGCCATTCTAGCTCCTGGAGCTCCTTCCCACACAATGAAGTGGCCCTGAGAGGAAAAAGAAGGAAAAGCACATGCTGATAACTCTGGAATAATTACCACAATATGATGCCTCACCATCATTTTTCAGTGAACAGATAACAAAGTTACCGTTACATCGCCACCTTACATGTCTCTGTTTTATTACAGCACTGCAGATCGTGTCTAATGCAACAGGTGATGCATCAGACTGACAGCACCAACAGGGCTGCACACAGTGGTTGTCATTACTTTGACCTTTAAATGGCATTCTCTGTTGCCAGAAAAAAACACAGCTCATGTCAAGCAGCCACACTCCACCAGTACTAATGACGAGGGCTGGAGCACCTCTCCTATGAGGAGAGGCTGAGAGAATTGGGGTTGTTCAGCCTGGAGAAGAAAAGGTTCCAGGGAGACCTTATTGTGGCTTTTCAGTACCTAAAGAGGCTACAGGAGAGCTGGGGAGGGACTGTTTACAAGGGCATGTAGTAATAGGACGAGGGGGAATGGCTTCAAACTGGAAGAGGGAAGCTTTAGATTAGATATCAGGAAGAAATTCTTTATTCTGAGGGTGGTGAGCCCCTGGGGCAGGTTGCCCAGAGAAGCTGTGGCTGCCCCATCCCTGGAGGTGTTGAAGGCCAGGTTGGACGGGGCTTGGAGCAACCTGGGCTGGTGGGAGGTGTCCCTGCCCATGGCAGGGGGGTGGAACTCAATGATCTTTAAGGTCCCTTCCAACCCAAACCATTCTATGATTCTATGATTCTATAATGAAAATTATATCCTGTGTGTTACACAGACACTTTATATGCTCACTTGATCTCCTTCACCCGAGCAGGACATTAATTTCACATACAGCTGAGTTAGTGACACGGGTTCCCCTTTGGCAACATCAGGGAGAACTAAGTGCTGTTGGGGTGTGATCCACTGGACTGTTTTTTTGGGGGATGTCTAAATGTGGATAGATAAATCCCCACCAGAGTGTCTCACTGCACTGTGATTTAGCCTTACAACTCCACTCAGCGATACGCCGTGATTCCCACGCAAGACATAGGATACAAACAGGCAGAGTACACTATTTGCCCAACGCGACACAGTAAATCTCCAAAGAAACAGGAATTCAGGCCAGGGTGTTGAAAGTCTCAGATTCATGTCCCCTATCCTCTGTGCTCCTAAACCACCCAACTGCTTAACGAAAGAGACCTGGAAAAGCACACGAGTCCTTTGAAGATATATGAACAGCTGTGGGAGAACATCCATAAGTTGATCTAAATGTTTTCACACGGAGCCCACACAATGTATGCTCCCATGTACCGACTTGGCCAGCAAACCCGTCTCTTCGGAAGAACTTCGTAAATTTGAAAACATGTAGACCAAGAGGGGTCAGTGAGCTTCTAACACGAGAAGGAAACAACAGGAAAAAAACACTCCACTGATGCCAGTAAATTCAGGAGCTGACCCATGTAATAAGAGAGGAGGAGGAAAAAATAAAATGCTTTAAAAATCATGCGGGGGCCCAGAACAAACCTGTTCCCGTTTGATGAGGAGGTTAGAAAGGCAAATAACTACATTATGTGGGAATTGCTCCATAAGCATCTACGGTCTGGTGCTTCAAACCTTAATCAAGCCAGGAGACACATCTCTCTGAACAGCGAGAAAGGTAATAAGCAAATGCTCTCTTTCAGATATATTTCTAAAGGAGCTTCTTGTGGGACCTAAGGACACTTAGAAACCAGTGAAGGCACGCATAGCACTAACACTGACTGAGAAATTCCAGTTACCTGTCGGATGGGTTCACCAAGGCTTTCCAAGGTCCCTGGATAATTCTCAATGAGTGAGACGTGGAGGTTGTTTTCTGCTCTTCGGGTGAGTGCAGACACAATGGCATAAGCCTGCTCCAGCAAAGTGCAGTTTTGGCTATTTCTTGCTTTGTTTCGAATTAATTCCTGTAGAGGAATGAAGCAAATGTTACTGGGCAGTCAGAAAAAAAACAAAAAAACAAACCCCAAAACATTTTTTTGAAAGCCGAAGAGTTTCTCAATATCTGTTCCAGCTCTTTCATCTGAGCAAATTTTATCCCATTCTTCCACCATCTGCTGCTAAGCTACTAAAGTCTCTTACTTCCTACCCATTCTGCAGCCTTAATGAGTAATCCGTCTGGCTTTTCCTTATATCAGTTGATATTAAACAAAGACCAAGTTGAAGTAAACACCAAATATGTTGCTGTGATTGAAAACAAAAAACCCCACAACCCAGAGCAATCCTAAATGCATCCATTGCATTTCTCTTGTGCTTATCCTGATGACACCATGAGGCAAGTGATTCGTGTGGCAGCGCTAAACCAAGAGTCAATATTAGAATAATAAAAAGAGAGGTTGGAAAAAATACGAAATGGCAGTTATCCTGTTCATCTCACATTTGTTCCTGTTGCTCTCTCTTAGCCATGAGGGCACGGAAAGTCCCCATGTTTGCTCTCTCTTCCAAGAGGCCCTTAAAAATTTTGGTGTTTGCATGCAGGCATGTGTTCAAAATTAGAAAGTTAATGTTCTTCAAACTATTCACACCACTCACTTAGGTAAGACTAGAAATACAGAAATATTTTGGCATAGCTGTCTTCTTCCTGGATATCCCAGTGCTATTTCCTGTGGGAAGTACTACTTAGAATGCTACTTTGAGATGTTTGTTTGTGGTCTGGGCTAGAGCCTGAGATAGGCTCTACTCCACTCTCGTGAGACCCCACCTGGAGTACTGCATCCAGCTCTGGAGTCCCCAACATAAGAAGGACATGGACCTGCTGGAGCGTGTCCAGAGGAGAGCCACAAAGATGATCCGAGGGCTGGAGCACCTCTCCTATGAGGAGAGGCTGAGAGAGTTGGGGCTGTTCAGCCTGGAGAAGAGAAGGCTCCGGGGAGATCTTATTGCGGCCTTCCAGTACCTAAAGGGGCTACAGGAGAGCTGGGGAAGGGCTTTTTACTAGGGCATGTAGTGACAGGACGAGGGGGGATGGCTTCAAACTGGAAGAGGGCCGGTTTAGATTAAACATTAGGAAGACATTTTTTACTTTGAGGGTGGTGAGGCACTGGAACAGGTTGTCCAGAGAGGTTGTTGAGGCCCCATCCCTGGAGGTGTTCAAGGCCAGGCTGGACGTGGCCTTGGGCAACCTGGGCTGGTGGGAGGTGTCCCTGCCCATGGCAGGGGGGTTGGAACTCGATGATCTTTAAGGTCCCTTCCAACCTAAACCATTCTATGATTCTATGATAGTAGGAGAGATGAAAGCTTGAAAGATGAAACATTTCAGGATGGTAATGGGGCAATGCTTTTCAGAAAACACAAATTTCATCTTGCTATAATGTCAGCATAAAACGCAAGGAAAGAAAGCAGTAAGTCAATATCTTACACATTGGAAGCTGCTTATTTTTATGACATACCTGTTGCTGAGTGTGAAGCAAATTCGTTCTTGTCATGGATACGTACATACATGCATTTATATATGTATATAAGCATACATTTTTTATATATGTATATGCTTCTGTTTAAACATCACTCAGATAAAGCTTGCTGATGTTTATGGGGTTGGAAACTGTGAATCTCTACCTGGATTTACATTATTTAGGGAGCACCATCGCTGGTGATGATTACCGTCCTTCTTACTCAAGCAGCTTTCAATTGTCATTGCATCACATGGAAGCCAAGAAATACGAAATAAAAATAGAGTCTTTTTCTACACAAGCTGCACAAAGCAGAACATAAACATATCAGTTATAGGTGGATAACAAAAGCTTTTCACCTTGATTATAGTCTGATACTGCTGGATCCTGTTTATGGGTTTTTCCAGGTAGTGCTGCAGTGGTGGGATAAGTGGCTGTGAAGGATCTTCATTCATTAAGATTTCATCTGTGTATCTCTGAAAAAATACACAGACGAATGAGGAAAGGTTGTTACAAAGAACAATAAAAAGGATTACTCCTTGGAAAATGCTTATATGGTGCTGGTTCATAGACCTAACTCAGCCAAAACTGGATAGCTCTGCCAGACCTTACTACCCCATATTTTGGGCATCCATAACACTCCTCCATCCTTTACCAGCTCATTAGTATTTTAGAGTGCAAGATGTCTGAAATGCTGAATTTGTCTGCTTTTCCAGCACAGGGCTGATGCTGGGGAAATGTCATCCAAAGTTTTCAGAACCAGATGGTGTGAGAGGAAAGATCAGTGCTTTTGGCAGGTGGAAGGGCAGGAGTGAGCAAACCCAGTGCCACCAACTGGTACCAGACCTTGGCTGAGAGTGGTCCGTGTGTTTGCAGCGCCAGCGACTGGATCAAGTGAGGGTCTCGGCACTGGCACCTGGTGTCCATGTGCGAGGACATCCGCCACTGAGCTGGACGTTGATCCTTTCCACTGACCTGGTGCACGTAGGTGCAACTGTCTGCAATTCACCAGCAAAGTTCAAGCTCCTCTCAAATAGGTGACCCAGGATCCAGGCATGGATATTTGGGAGGTTGAGAGCTTGTGTTGACAATTTGAGGAGTCTGTGAACGTGGGGTGAGTGTGAATACATGCATTTGTTTTCTAATGAGCACCAAGCTGGACTAGCTGGTGAGCAGGAGGCTCATGGAGAGGGTAAAGGTGCTCAGGATCTGGGCAGGGGTATCAGATGGACAGAGGAGCTGTGCTGCTGCTCAAGGGATCCATGAACACGCGTGTGCTCGTGGATCTGGACTGTTGTGTGTGTGTTTTCACTACTGAACTTCAATCCTGAGCAGCTGGAGATGAGAAACTGGATTTTCTTATCTATACTAATATTTTATGTGGGTTCACTTGGTGTTATAATGTGGTGGTCCTTAAAACATCCCCTACTTACAATTACACTCTCACGCCACATTCTTATCTGTATAATCTTAATAATATTTATAAATGCTTAAGCATATGAAAATACGTTCCCATATTGGTTGTACAGACCAGGAAGAGCTAGACAGTGAACACAAAATTATTATATTTAGCAATGATTTCCCACAAAAAATATTTAATAATCCTTTTCAGGATCACATTTGTGATTAATAACTACATTTCTTGATGCAGTGGGTTAGAGGACGCATGTTCAGCAGGTACTTTGGCTACTGTTTTACCTTGTAGAAATCCTGGACAGCTTTGCTAACAACGACGGACTCAGCCTGTACCCTCCCCACCAGGTACTGGATGTACTTATTAAACTCTACTTCGTGCTTGATAAAGCACATGGCCACGTCATCATCAGTGTCGCATTTCTGCAAGCCTCGGAGGAAGACGCTGTGGACACAAAGAAGAAAGGGCATCTGAGGAGAAGGCGATGAAATGAGGTGAGAACACAACCCCGGCAGCCAGACTTTTAAATCGGGCGATTTCAGGTTAAAGGAAGTGACTGGGGGAAACGAGGGATGTTGCCACATTAGCATTAAACTTTTTGATGCCTCTTCATCCGACATGGTGCTGTCCCTCTTAGCTTGAACGTATGTAACGCCCTGCAAGGAAGGTAGGGATAACTTTCAAGGGCTCAGCTCAAGTTGGGAAGTTAACCCCTCCCCAGATCCTTATGCCTCTCTGTGAGGCTCAACGAGCCATCCACGTGAGTGAAGACAGAGATCCCCACTCTCTTTCACAAAGGATGTTGAGACAGGTTCACACGCATGAAGATTTTTAGCAGTGGCGGTAGCTGATGACATGCGTCACCTCTCACAGTTGAGGTTCCTTTGGGGTAAAAACAAAAGGAGAGGGAGGGAGAAGAGAGAGAGAGGGAGGAAAGAGAAGGGAAATCTGTTCTCGTGGCCCAGCCAGGAGAAGTGCCAGATGTCCCACATAAGCATCCTCGCCATTGCAGAAGCAGTGCCCCCATAATGACTTCCCCAGAGTAACTATACACTTTTCATCGCAACCTGCTCAAACTCCTTTTTTGTTTGCTCCTGCTTGCAATATTGCTAGCCCTGATCAGAGCACACATTGTTCGGGGAAGATGCTGCGCGCTCACTGGTCGTTGAGCTTTGTGCATGCATATTATTGACACCCCCTTAAGGTAAACCAAACGTTAGGATCACAAGGTAGGAAAATGGGGAAGAAAGGGTGATTCTCATGCTGTTGGCAAGGACTTCCCATGAGAGTGATCACTTCCCATGACAGCAAGGGCATCAAGGTGCAAAAGGAAACCCCTTAGCAATGGAAAGCCTAAGGCACGTAAGACATGGTACAACACCTCCTCTCCCTGGCAGACTGTCCTGGTTTGAGGACACAAGTAGAAGTATTTCAGCCCGGACCTTGGGAATTCACTCTGTGAACAGCAGGTCTGCAGTAAATCCTTTCTTGGGGTAGGCAGAAGCGTCGTGCCATGGCGTCGTACCTGGGCAGCCTGCTACAGCTGGATGTGGTTTGATGGCATCAGTTTTAGGTGAATGTGTGTCTCTATGAAGACACCACTGAAGTGCCTGCAGGGCCATGCTGCCTTTTTATAATAATTCACTGCTTCTCAACTAAATTCGCTTAAAAAGGTAAGAAATAAGCTGGACATAGGAAGCCTTGAAGCTCTGAAGGGTATTATGGGAGTCCCAACCCTGTGCTTTGACTTAAGCTATGCCATCGTCTATGATCCCAAAAGGACCATCAATTCCCTTGCACCTCAGCACTGCCAGTGCTCCACATCCTTCACGGTAATAATAACTACTGTGGCTCTGACATCAGGTATGTGAGCCACAATGTGCTCTCAAATGAATGCCCACCTGGAATGGAAGCGAGCAATGTCATCAATATTTCTGAAAATGGTGGATTTCTGACTGGCGACAGCTCCCGGGACGTTGGGACAGGTCTCGGTGAACTTAAGGTGATGACTTTGGAGGAACTGTAGGTCTTGAATGTAATCCTCTTCTGAGATCAACAGTTCTTGAATAAGAACGCTGAAGGGAAGATGAATAGGCAAAAAGAAATCACATTATCCTTGATACGCTGAGAGACTTTTGGGCTCTAAAGTAGAGATATATGATCAGAGGAACAGACTCCCTGGAGCACGTTGACTAGATCCCCTCTGACCATAAGAGGAACTTAGACACCCTGCTCATGGAGTGACACCTATCTCTACCTTACAGACATCTACTGTTAGGGCAGATAAAACAGAGTGTGAGCAACAAAAGGATCTATGTAAAGACGACAGTAGCGACTTCAATGCCACTTTATGCAATCAAGAAAGCAAATATCTCCATGAGAGCACACTCAGTGGTGTGCTGCACTGCGAGGGAGTAACACAAGGTGTTGCGTGCTTTCACGCCCTCTTTAGACATCACCCTCAATATAGGGCACCCCAAAGTACAGAGGTACTGTAGTTTAGGATTTTGTGAAATCAGAGAGCTTCCAGACTTACATCATGTAAATCCCTCCTTTCAAGTCATCCAATATGATTTAGATCGCCTGGAATTTTCCCAGGGTGAAATCAACTGCAAAACCCAATCGAAGATCACAAATTACAAGTCTGAGAAAATCAAGGCTTTGCTTGATTCTGAGAAAGGGGAGGTGGCAGGGCCGAGCAGAACAAAGCCAGTGACTCTGACAGGAGGAACCCAGATGCCAACATTCCTGTGAGTTCAAAAGGCAGGAAAACTCAAAGGTGCAAATACCAAATGACACTAGCTCACCTTAGCTTCCGTTTATATTCGTCTTCAGAAACAAACTCTCCAGGGAACTCGGGAGCTTCTGTTGTTCCCCACTCTGGTGACAACTAAAATACAAGAAAAAAAGAAACATTATTCTTTTAAGTTACCAGTGCTTTTATCAATGCACACTGAGGGATATCCCTCATGTGTTCACAGTCCCTTCCAACAACTCCTAAACCAGTGTGAAATGGTTTTGCTGGAGGATGATTAGGTCTTTCAGACCCAGGCCCTGCTGCACACATACAGAAATACTGTCTAATCAAAACATGAAAAAGTCCAATCGTGTTAGAGACCCCTTTAACAACTTCCTCATCCATCGCTCCTCGCAAAAGGGATGGCTCTGAACTGCAAGAGGAGCAAGTAATTTTACACGAAAAAGATCAGTCACCTTTAATTTCTTGTCCAGATAAGCTGGAGATACCCAACCCTGTCGAGAGGGACTCGATTTTGTGGGTTTAGTCCTGACCAGCCATTTGAGAGGATGAGCTGAATCAAGGACTTCCACGTATTGGCCTTCCTTCAAAGTGATGGTCTCTCTGTCAGGCGCAGCGGGCACATAGTCAGCTGTGACCATGTAGACGTCAAAGATCTGCAGGCATGAAGAGACAGTTATTTTGTGCTCTGAAAAAAAGAATACAGTAACACCAGCAGAACATAAGTGCTTATCTGTGTTTACTGTTTTATTCTCCAGCCCTTGTCCGGCAAAGAGAATGACCGTTTCCTTTCTGCAAGTGGAAGGCTAAGTCCCAAGGGGGCTCAGGCCATATTTTCAAAACTACCTGAGATGTTTTGGATCTACACCACAAAACAGTGGATTTTTCCTCGCAAGGCAAAACAGTGGTCCTGAAAATGTCAAAATAGGTTAACATTTCCAAAGGGTTTTTTTGTAGGGTTGTTTGTTTTGGTTTGGTTTTTTTTTTAGGAAGTGCTTGAAATGAACACCCCAAATATTTCTAATTTTCACAAAATTCTCATTTTTCTCATGAAGAACTTCTCAGCAAAATCTTTCTGACCAACTCTGTCCAAGGCCACAGAAAATCAAGCTCTGACTTTCTGAAGCTCAGCCACAAAAGCAAAAGGTGCCAAATAATGAATATGTTTTGACCATGTTGATTTGAACAACTTGTTCAAGATCACACAGTGAGCATCAGAATTTGATACTCTATGCTCTGTGTCACAGACCCAATATTTAACTACCAAATATACCTACTAATGTGAAGTACATCTCTAAAGGGGATGGAGGTTCCTAAACCATAGGAGATTGGTCATTCTAAGTTTTCTCCTTGTGTCAAACTTGTCCTTAAAGATATCGTACCTCTCCTCTGGAATCCCCATCTTCAGATTCAGAGGAGGACTCCTGAGCAATGGACGAAGGTCTGGATCGTCCATGGCGAGGAGATGCAGAGGGAGTTTTTGATTCATCGTCACTTTCTGCACCTGGCACTCGAAGTGTAGCTAAAAAGCAGAGAGACAGCAAAGTGTGAAATAAAGATCTCCAATTTGAACGTGAACCCTACCTATAATAATTTTTAATTTAATAAAAACAAATATTCCCTAGGAAGAGCATTTGTAGTATTTAGTGTGATCTCCTCTTGATAATTAGGATTAAATAAATAATTGGGATGCTTTAATACATGAGGTTGCATGCTTACTGCATGTATTGCCACTGCACTGCAAGAGTATTTGTAGGAGAGGTAATGACTCTATTTTTGCTTCAAGATAAAATTTTTCCACAAGATAATCAGTATGTAATACACAAAGCAGGTTTTTTCATTCAATTCAACAAGTCGTTGGATTACTGCACAGCTGCGCACACAGTTTTGAGCCTCAACTTGATTTTTAAATCCCATTGGAAGCTAAAACTTGAAGATGTGGGAAGTCTTTGAAACAGGGTTGTTTTCAGACTCAGGAGTGACAAATATCTGAGACACTCGAAATGCCTAAGATGTTCAAAACACACTTCCATTTTTTACAACTTGCCCTCCACTCTAAAGCTTACAGTTACTCTACTTATTTAAATAAACACCATATGCATTAAATAGACACTTGCCATCTCAGTTTACTGTAATAGCTTTTTTTCTAGTTCAAAACTGTAGATTAAGACATGCAGTTTGGATGGACTCTTACTAAAAATTCTTAGTCGTAAGCATTTACAAATGATCATACGCTTATGTAGGATGACTGTCTCAAAGCCTGCTTCATAAAGCTCACTGATATTGAAAGTCCAGATGATACCTAAAAAAAGACTGTGTATTTTTCGACGCTAATTAAATCCCATTTCCCAGGTTGCTTACCCTGACTTATTTTTGCAGATACCATTTCTGAAATACGAGAGGTGAGTTTCTGGAAGAACTCCTCTGAGCCAACATCAGCTAAGGAAATAGGGCTTTTAGGTACACCTTCTCCACCAGCTTCAAGGTCTCCTGGAAAAGAGAATTTTCTATAAAGCAGGCAATGTCATTGGAAAGTCGTCTTTTTGGAGTAACAAAAGCTTCTGCGGAAGGATGGTCCAATTTTCTTCACTTCCCCTGTTTTTAAAACTGCTTGCTCACATTTCATCCAAATAATTCACCCCTGAACAGAGACCAGTCCAGAAAAGTTCCAACATTCCAGACTGTTTCAAGAAAACAGGACAGAAGTAGGTGGTAATCATGAAACACATAGACAACCTCAGCTGTAGATGTCAAGGGCAGGAGTAGGAGAGAGAGAATAGCTTCTCTTACCTTCTCTTGTTTCAGAGGGATGGATAGATCTGAAAAAGAAAGAGTAAAGCAGAGTTAAGCATTAAAATAAAATTTATAGGAAGGTAAATGAGAAACACCCCTCCTTCTCACACCTCACATATGAAGGCTGGGAATATCCAAGGACTCTGGTTTGGACTGCAGGTGCTGGTAGCTGATACTCACCAGGGCCTTTATACGAAATGAGAATTGGGGCACCTGGCTGATACGGGCACAGAAATATTTGTGTGTCTTAGTATTTGAGCCAAATCCCATCTGAGAGTTCTCCTTATTCCTGGAGAAGACCTGGCTGCTCAGGGAGTGGGTTGCGGAACAGAGGAGTCTCCATCACCCTTGTGCTACTGGGACTTTATTCCCAGCCGATACTGAAATAAAACTATTACAGTTGGAGATATTATATTACAGGAGTTGTAGTCTCAGGCAGTTGTCAGTGAATTAACGCTCAACAATTTCCAGTGGTTTCATCAGGAAGCCAAAGACTGGAGAATATGCAGATGCTGTGGTCCTACCAAGAGACCTGCTCCCACCACACCAGGACGCTCGTGTGTTGGGGAAGCAAGCTGACTACTGGTACTGCAGTGGTTTTGAGGTCCAAAGAGACCTTTCCTACACTGACAGATTTTACCAGCACCAAATTCATTCCCGGCAGCAGGAAAGGGGCAGGAGACTATATTGTCAACACTGAGTGAAAAGGGCTTCACAGACGCGAGGAACTGCCAGCATTTGCTTGCATCTGATGAAGATTGTTTGTGGTGTTTCCCAAGACTACAAAACACTAATATCCTGAAGTCACCATCTCTGTTATTCCTGTGCTTTTTGGAGGCGGGATATAAATTTTCACTGCACAAGCTGATCTGCCCTAATTCTCTGTTAGTCCCTGGGAAGCAGGAGGAAGCTCACTCCACTTGATACGTGATGAACAGTCTATCATTAAGTACACCTAAACGAGCCGGGGCACATCCTTGGGAGAGGTTGCAGTGGAATAGCTGAATTCACACTGTAGCTTTCTTCACTTTTTTCATACTCCAGAAGAAGCCTGGTCAAGCCTTTTGGGCTTGACATATTCTAGAAGCTGACGTGTTCAGGCGGATACCACTTTTCAGACCGTATCTGCCTGCTATCCAAGCCAAGAATGGCAAATTGAGGACGTTATTCTTCAGGTTCATTTGTAAACAAAAAGTTTGTGAGCAGACCCTTTGCATCTACTTCTTTTTCTGTGAAGCATCAGTGTATTTCAGTGTTGGCAAGTAACAGTCAGACCTTCACCCTGTGAATTTTTTTGGCATTCTGCTTAGGAGATGAAAAAGTAGCAAGAGTTTTCTATGACCTACCCAATTTTTATTTATTTTTGTCCTTGTTCCTATTCTCCCTGATAACAAAGCATAAGTGGCTGACATTGTCTAGAATATTCATAGCACTTTCCATCCTAGAACCTCAAACTATTTTAATTCTGGTGCTGAGACACGAATATAAGATGTTAAAGTGAACAATTCCTAAAAGTGACTCAGCGGAACTTGGGCCGGGTGGTACTTGCATTGCTTCACTTCAGCATGGGTGGGCAACCACTTACCCCAGTGTGGTCATGATGGCTTCTGACACCATCACGCGCTCTTGGGTCAGAACTTCAGCCTCTTTCACTGCAAGATTAGGGTTTATCATTAGGGGACAGAAGGCAGAGAATCTTCTTTTTACATATTTAATGTAGGCACATTTTCTAGACATGGATTACTGGGAACACTGGAATACTGAATCTGACCTGTTAGCAGGTCCTCACCTGGGTTAAATACTCCCACTTATATGATGCAAATACTTTACTCCTCTCCCAGTTCACACAGATGTTGGATTGCCTCATTTGTCTACGATGCTCAAGCTATGCTCCTGTACCTCCTGGTACAGTAAAAACGTGGGATGCAAGGAAGGGTAACAGAAAAGTGAAGTCCTTCACAGTGCTGTCCCTACTCTCAGCCTCTATTTGCTCGTCCCACTTCTTACTGAAGGACTTACGCCAGGAGAGGCCCTGGAAAGCTCTGCCAAAGGGGAATCAAATACCTCTAGCTGCCTTAAGGTAATTCTATAATGCAAAATACCGTAGCAGAGCGAAGCACTCAATTTTTTAAAGGGTGACTTTTTCTAGTTACTTTACATCGCCTTTCCGCCTTTCTTTTTCCTTTGAATTTAATTTGGTTGTTTCTTAGACTTGTCTTCTGTTTATACAGAAAAGATGCTGCTGTTAATCCCAACTAGGGTCAGAAAACAGAAACATTATAGGTGTAAGGAATGTAAACATTTGCAAGGCAAGTGAATTCATAGCTAATATTGGGAAAATGCATTTTTTTTTAGTTGTGATTTGATTAATTTCCTTATCAGTCATACTTGTTTTTCTCTTAGGCACTGTATGAAAGGGAACATAGAGAATGTGTCTGTATTGTAAGAAAGATTTACCATCCACAACTTCCAGGGTGGCAGTGCAGATGGACTGACCAGCCTTGTTGGTAGCAATGCATGTATAAGCTCCACTGTACTTCTTTTTAACATCCAACAGAATTAAACTGTGATGCATATTTGAACTGGCAAGTTTATATCCAGGCGTGTCTGGTTTGATCCACAGGATGTCCTCCCGAGATGACTCTTTCAGCCAAGTAATAGTTGGTGGTGGATGTCCTAAAGGAAAACCAATGCAATGAGCTTTTATTTTCCTAACGGTGTTCCTTCCTTACAATTATGAGCCATGCTGTCAATATATGCTATTTTGAACTGTTTCCTGATGCTTTTCCAACAATAACAGGCACAATATATAATAAAGGAACATAAACCCTTCTGCAGCACACTCATAAGGACATTAAACCTTTTTCGTAAAACCAAACCTGTTAATCAACACATCTTCATAAGACTAGTGTTATTATCCCTGTTTTTACACACAGGAAAATGGAGGTGAAGATGAGTCAGGTACTTTTCTGTAAAGGACATAAAGTTTCTTACAAAACTGGGAGTAGAGCCCCAGACTTCAGAGACAGGAGATGAGGCTACAATGACTTGGGGAGAGAGAGTCTAGAATGTGTCACGAAGTTCTGCCAGGTAAGCGTTATGCAGAGAGGGAAGGCATCTACCCACTTACCTTCAACTTTTACAGATAATGTGATGCTTGCGCCTTTTTTCACCTTTTTATTTGTAAACCTTTCTAGGAACCTTGGTGGTATCAGCTGCTCATGGGAATCTGAAAACGACATTATTGATGAAACGTGGTGACATCTTCTGTGTCAGTTTACTGAAAAATTCCTAGGGATTCTGTTATCACCCGCTACGGCTTCTCTCACCTGTTTCTGATGGCTCTTCTTTCTCACCAGGATCTGTAATGCAAGGAGAAAAAACCAAAATGACATACAAATAACTTTCTGTCCATGAGTTGAAGAAAAAAAAAAAAAAAAAAAAAGAGTGACTCCAGGGGATTACCCCTTACAGGAGATATTACACAGAATTGATACTAGAATGATTCATAAGAGACCCTCAGTTTCAGTAAAATGAACCATTAAAGTTAATGAGGTTGGGCAGGAATAAAATGTATGTTTATGAGACAACAGTCAGACCCTAGAGAAGTGACAAGTCTCATCTTCAGGGGACACAGTAAATTTACAGGTGAACCAAGATGAAAGCACATAATCTTTTGCCTAAAGACTTCCCCACCTCCCTTGACTCGCCTTGGTAGGCTTTCTCAGGAAAAAATAACTCTATAAAACAGAAAAAGCCACTGGAATAGAGAAAATCAGGTGCCAAAACCAATCCAATACCTACCTTTGACTACCAGCCTGGCCGATGAATATGCAGAACCAGCAGAGTTGATGACAAATATTGAGTACTGGCCAGAATCTGCCTTAGTGACATCACGAATTTCCAGTGAGTGGAATTCCTGTTTATCAGTCTTCAGGATGCGATCCGAGGCCTTTAACGGCTGTCCGTTTTTGAACCAATAGAGACGAGGCTGTGGGTACCCTGCAAGGAGCAGTTACAGACACGGAGAACAGAACGCATTGGTGACATCGATTTGGGAGCATCTCCAACCAGGCAGATCCTTCGGAGCAGCCAAGGAATCCTCAGCTCTGCTCAGGGCTGCTGTTTTAAAGTTTTACCCAATTAGGAATGGCTGCAAATTCATGAAATTCTATCTATTTGGTAAAGTTCTGTCCCGTCTCTTCAGTTTCTGGCACTCCCCATACTGATTGCCTATGCAAATGCCTTCCAGGTTGGAAAGGTGATTTGCCAACATATACAAAGAGAAAAGTTGGAGCCAAAACAGTTCCCATCATTTTTACAGGCAGCAATCGGAGAAAACAGGAGACTCCCTACCTCTCCCTACAGTCAGTCTGTCAACAGACAGACAGACAGTCAACACCAGGAAGATGTTTTTGCAGTTTTTAGGTTGTAGCAGCAACTGCCTCGTAAAGTAAGGCAAGCCCAAGACTGTTTAATTTACTAATGACAATAAAGGACACTGTCACTATCTTTTTTTTTATTATTATTATTTTTTTATTCCTGATTGCTCCTCCATAACTAATTTGCTCAGAGAATTACAGGACTCACTTTTCAGAAGCACACGCCTGTAATTATGCCTGTAGACATGGACACAGAGACACTTAATCTGCCTGAGTCTGCTCAAAGTCATCTGCTGCAAAAGTCATCATTCCTCGATCAGCACATACACATTCCTCTAGCTGGTTTGTGCAAACATGGTGCAGGATGCACAGATTGGGGTCACGGCTGGAGAAGAGCATTTGTCCAGCACTTCAACCTGGAACAACTGACAGAGCTGTGGGCTCCCCTTACCTTTCACCTTCAGGTGAAATTTAGCCAGTGACGCTCCAGGTGCCACATGAATATCATGAAGCTCATCGAAGATCTGGGGCAATTGCTCCTCCTCAGTGGTAGATTCCTCCTGTTCTCGGCTAAGAAGCGATTAGAATTAGAAAGAAGAAAGTCAGGAAGTCAGAAAAGAGTTAGGAATCGGAATCACCTATTTTAGGTTAATTTAGTCTGTTGGGTTTAGAATCACAGAATGGTTTAGGTTGGAAGAGACCTTGAAGATCATGTAGATCCAACTCCCCTGACATGGGCAGGGACACCTCCCACCAGACCAGGTTGCTCAAAGCCCCGTCCAACCTGGCCTTGAACACCTCCAGGGACGGGGCAGCCACAGCTTCTCTGGACAACCTGGGCCAGGGGATCACCACCCCCACAGTCAAGAATTTCTTCCTAATATCGAATCTAAATCTCCCCTCTTTCAGCTTAAAACCATCACCCCTCGTCCTATGGCTCCACTCCCTGATCAAGAGTCCCTCCCCAGCTCTCCCGGAGCCCCTTTAGGGGCTATAAGGTCTCCCCGGAACCTTTTCTTCTCCAGGCTGAACAATCCCAACTCTCTCAGCCTGTCCTCATAGGCTTCAGAGTTTTATCATCGTGACAACAGATTCAGCACCATATGACATGAAAAATCCTGGAGTGATACCATGAAGAAGTACCCAGGCCAGCCTGCAGGCAGCCAGAGCAAGTTTACACACATGATAAACGTCCAGCTGTTGCAGTTACTGCATCTCAGCTGGTCTGGCTGATTCTTTAGGACATTAAACTGGCACTGCCAGATAGAGCAAACCCAGGCTTGATGTAAATATACATATTGATCTTATCACATCAGAAGTTAGAAAGAGCCAGAGTTCAATATTTTACCTCGAAATATATTCTTTGGCACTGTAGTAAGAAGATGTCTCTGTTGCATCTGCTGCTGTCTCATAGTCGGTGCTGGTCACTGTTAGATGGAAAAAAGGAAGTGTTTTCTTTGAAACTACTTTTCTTACTATAATTACAGTTTCCCTACTAATGTGAGTGACTGGCAGTTCGATTTCGCACTGCTGCTGCATACCTCTGCATTACAGAAAACACCTCTGATTATCCAAGGAGCTTTTTTCTCAGCCTTGCCTTGATGTTGGCAAAACCCAACTGAACCCAAGAGGTTTGCAAGCGAAACATTTTTTGGGCAACTCATACACTTGTTTTAATGTAAATGGTGTTTCTCTTGAAAAAAAAAAATAATTATCCACCTCTCAGCAGGACCCTTTCTCTTGTTTTTTTCCTACAGTGATTTTGAGACTTACAGTCCACTCGAAGCTCCGCCTTGGTTGAAGCGACTCCCATGTTGTTTTCAGCGAGGCAACGGTAAACACCCATGTCAGTGGGGACCACAGCTGTGATGATCAGCTGATGGCACCCTTCCTGGTCCTCGTTGATCATGTAATGATCGTTTTCTTCAATAGCTTTCCCATCCTTGAACCAGCGAACCGTAGGGAGCGGTTTGCCAACGACAATGCAGTCGAAGCTGACTGGGTATCCGTCTTGCACCTCTTGGTTTTGGAGCTCAGTCATGAACATGGGAGCTAAAGTCAGGGTAGTTAGGAGAGAAAAGAGGAAAAATTTGGCTGTTAAAAGATGTATTTTAAGAGCACTGCTGCCCAGTGCCTGAAGACTTCTGGTTCCTAGGGTTTTTAATTGCAGAATGATTTCTTTTCTCTATGAAAATAGTCAAGAAGAAACTCCCCGACTAACGCTATGAAGGTATTCCACGATGCCGTAAGCATTACAGCTGCAAACTATACATTACCTCTGTTCCTCTCCTCGCTGAAATGTCTTTTCTCCCTCAGGACTGTTCTGAAAACTGTTTTGTTGATTTAATTATAATAATCATAGCTTTTATGGCCCTATTATTGTAGTAGGGGGCATTTCTATTGTGAAAAGCAGCTTTGTAGGTAAGTAAATACTTTCTAGCCCCCTCCTTCATCACTAACCTCCCTCCTCTCCCTCAACACGAAAAAGAATGAAAAATTCATCAGTTTTTCCAAAAGTGCAGTTTCCATGAACATATCTGCACCAAGTGAAATATAAAGGCTTTTTGGAAGTTATTTGTGAATGAAAAGATAACATTCTGACCTGCTCCAGCTGTCTTTTCCAAAGAATAAACAGGTTTGCTTCACCTACCTGTATCAGAAGTCAGCAAAGGTGGTGGAGGTCTCACTACTGGTGGTGCAAACTTCCCATGGGTGGGTGGTGTTGCTTTCCCAATACGCAATTCAATTTTTTTAGGTCCTTGTTCCAAAATGTCAATCTCCACAGGAATTCCCAGAGCACCAAACATCTCTCTGAAGCGAGTGGCAGCAGTTTTTGCCTCAGACAAGATTTCAAACTTGATGTAGATGTACTGGTCGTCCTCACGATACGTCTGATGGTCAACCACCTCTATGTCCCCTTCATCTGCACTGACAAAGAGCTCTTCCTCCACGTCAGATATCTCGGTTGAGATCTTGGCCCTGAAGAGTCTATGAAGTCTCCTCCCTGCTTTACGGAAAGCATCATCCAGCTCACTGCCCGATGAGCTCTCTGTCTCACTGTCAGTGCTTGGTTTAACCTGCTTCTCCTTACGAAGAACTTGAGGTTCCTCAGTGCCAATAACCACCTTAGCACTGTGTGAAACCTTGCCAAATTTATTGGATGCCTCACACGTGTATTTACCGGCATCTTTCCTGTCCAGGCCAGTGATAATCAAAGAGCAGGTCCCATCACTGTAATTGTCTATGTGATAGTAGCGACCGTCTGAAAGCTCTTCCCCATCTTTCAGCCAACGGACTTTCATGTCGGTTTTGCTGTGGGCCACACACTCAAGGTGAAGAGTGCTTCCAGGCTCACCAGAGAAATCTTTGAAGGTCTCGGTAAACACTGGGCACTCTTGTTGCTTGATCTCTTTCCTGACTTTGTAGCCTTTGAAGGCAGCCTGGATCTTCACAGCGGCCTTGTTCATGGAAGGATCATCTAAATCTGGTATTTCTGGTTCATCTGGCTGAGCAGCTGGGGCAGCCACAACAGTCTCCACACTGGATTTCTCCCACTGTTTCCATAATTTGCCTGTGGAGATGGACTGGACCTTGCTAGTAACACTGACACTTGTCTTCCCAGCTTTCTTGAGGTAGTTCACCAGGGAAGGAGTCCCAGCTCTAGACTCATCATCTGAGCTTGTGAAAGAGAAATCTGCTTCTCCCGTCCTAGCCAGCTCATCACACGTGGAGTACTCCTCTGAGTAATAGTGAGTCATCTCCGCTTCCTCCCTCCTCAACTTCTGAAGCTTCTCATCCTCTTCAGGCACCTCGCTGATGGAATCCAAGGTGGGCTCCCGGCTCATCCGGCGTTTCTTGGCCAGGGCTTCCCACAGGAGGTGAAGGTCTCCCTCCTGAGCAGCCTCAGGAGGCAAGCTGGGCTGGACATGGCCGTCCACCAGGTCTTCTGGTTGCCTTGCGGGAGGTGCTTCCATGGCTATCTCTTTCAGCATTGTCACTGTGGGAACTGAGGAGAATTACATCAATAAGATCTTAGAAGTCTGTGAGTAAGCTCTGAGAAAGCACACGGAAATGTAGTTCCAAAGCCTGGGCAGGAGAGTATCAATGGCATTCAACTAAGCATTCTGGTCAGAACAAAATGTGAATTTAATATAACTGGACATGGTCCTGAGCAATTTGTTCTAGGTGACCCTGCTTTGAGCAGAGCGGTGGACTACACTATCTTCAGACGTCCTTCCCAAACACAACTATCCTGTGATTCTATGCATGCACTTAAAACATGGCCAAACAACATTTTTTTTTTTTTTTCATTCTTCACACATTTGAACCCAATAAATACATTTCTGACATTTTTAAATGTTGGAGTTGATGAATACCAAGTCAAGACTGTCAGTGGAGCCTGGAAAGCTGTTCAGCCTCATCCTATTTTACAGCTAGACAGGGTTTCACTGACTGTCTTGAACAGATCTCCACTGGCTATGAGGGGAGCTGAGACTCCCACCTCACATGGAGACACTTGCCTGTTTAGATGCGTCTAAGTCTGAAGGTTTTGACTCGCCCTCTTGCCGCCACATGGTGCCCAGTGCCGTTTGAGATGCTCCAGGCTGTCTGGGACATCCACATGTGGCTCTCAGATACAACACAGGACCTATGAGTGCTCTAGGTCCCTCTGGAGAAGGAGGTGAAGGCCAGGAGTGATATCCTGAAATGTCTCGATGGTGCTAGATGCCCGTGAGCGGGCTGCTGAATCCCACTGTAGGGGCACAATTCAGCTTCCTAAACACTATGACCCAAAGCCATTTGGGATGTGTAGGACAGAGGGCTGGCAGATATCACGCAGAACATACAAAAGAGCCCTCATTTTCTGAAATGGCAGCTGAAGGCCAGGCAGAATACCATAAACCATCTCAAAAGGCACCAGAAACCCATGTAGAGACAGCTGTATCGCACCTTAAATATCTGACTTAGGAAAAAAAAAAAAATAATCGGAAAACACACTGGGCAATACTGAACAGGAAGATAACAATTCTTTGTGGATTGTTATCACAGCTCATAAAAGAAAATGAACTCCAGTCCAAGCTGTGGAGATGCCCCTGGATATCCATAAACAGAACTGATTTAACATCATGGGAATGTACTCTCTGTACCTTCAAGACACAAGCTGGCAACAGATTTGACTTCTGGAGAAACCATGCAGGTATAGGTGTCCTGATCTTCAGGTTTAAATGCACGAATAATGAGTATCTGTTTTTTTCCATCAGAGAGGATCTCATATCTCCCTCCAGCTTGTATTTGTTCTTTTCCTTTGAACCATATCACTTTCTCTTCAGTTGCACTTGATAATTTGCACTCCAAGCGAGCCACCTCCCCTTCCGAGACTGATCCTCCCACCAAAGGATGGGTGACTGTAACTGGAGGCTCTGTAATTACAAAAAGGTGAATTAACACAAAGAACATATCATAATCTGTATTTAAGGCACCATCCAAGCATCCCATCCTTCATTTATAGATTCTTTAGCTGTTGTAGACAACCAAAGGAATAAAAAAGGACTGGAAGCATTCAAAGTTTGCACTTCCAAAGATAATATCAAAATAATTTTACAAGCTCTCCCAGCCATTAAACCAGCTCCATTTAAATATATACATGCAAAAGTGGTCGCATTCTTCACATTCCTGTGTTTATTTGCTGATCTTCATTTACCCATCACCAGTATTCAAGCAGTCTTACAGATTCTAGAAGATCTTAATGTTTAGAAGTGAAGCGGTTCTGAAGAGAGGCACGAAAGAAACAATAAAAAGAATAAAAATGAAGAGAGATTATTAGAAGTGTCATTCATCCCAGTCTTGAAAGTAAAAAAAAAATAAAAATAAAATAAGATAGATATATTTATGCTTGCTTAGAAAGAGTAAGAAATCTCAAAAACGCATAAAGAGATTAAAATAAAAACATCTCTGGATCTTCATTACTTTGGAAGGAGGCCTGCCAATGGCACGCTGTTTGTGCGACAGCGATACTCAAAGCGAAGTCAAGATAAATGCATTCAACGCAGAGATGTTGACTGGGATGTAAAGGACACAGCTCAGGTCCCGAAAGCAGCACGCGCCTGAGCGTGATCTGCCTCTCCGCACATTTCACCGAGGTGAGGGGACCACTGCCCCGAGCACTTTGGGGTTGTTGTAGACAAAGTCAGCGTACGCGGTGGTATCAGCGCCCAGCCGACACGCTGCAGTTGTTGTGTTGCAAAAAGAGGATTTTTTTATTATTATTATTCCTCTCACTTTGAGGAATTTGTTGGGCACTCAGCTACCACGGAAAGAGTTGCAAGAAAAGAAAGATTGAGGGAGCGGCTCTCCATCCCACTGTAGCTTCCAAAGTTTCACCAACAGACAACAAAAGAACTGTGTCCTCCAGCATTTCTTTCTGGGGGTTATTGAAAAAGATACGCAAATAATATAATGAAAGAGAAAGATGGGTGAAGAAGACAACACTGCCCACCCTCTGCATTGGTACCAGGGTCTTGGTTACCCCAAACGCATTCCAACATGCCCTTTTGACTCATTCCATCCCAACGCTACCAGAAAGGAAGCTCATGGTGACCAGACAACACATGGGTGCAGTGCAGGCTGCAAGCCAGCTTGATGCAGTTTGGAGAAAATAAGTGTTGGGTACTAACAACACAGCAGGTTTTGTTTCACGGCAGCCCAGAACAATTTTTCCAAGCTCTTTCTTCTCTATTGTGTTGGCAGCAAAGCACTGAAAAACGTTGCAGAGTGAACTCCTCCAGGAGACACCTGGAACGGGTGAAGCAGGCATGCCATGCGAAACACAAGGTCTACCGCAGCTTGCAGTCCTCCCTGGGGCATCTCTCTGTTCTCACCTAGCTGCACCGTCTGAGGGAAGTGCACCGGCTCGCTGGCCCCAACTTTGTTTACAGCCGAGACGCGGAATCTGTAGGGTTCACCCGGGGTGAGATCATCCACCATAAACTCTGTGTTTTGAATAAGGCCCTTGCTGCATGACTGCCAGCCAATACCTGGGATTTTCCTCTCCACGTTGTAGCCTAGGATATCACAACCACCGTCGCTCAAGGGCTTGTACCAAGACAGAGTTACAGAGTGGCTGCTCTTACTTAAAACTTCCGGTTCTTCAGGTGGATCGGGGTGGGCTGAAGGCACAACAGAGGTCCCGTGATGTACGACATGAGCAATAATGCTTTACACTAAAACAACCAAGAGCCTTCTACAAGCAACGAGAAGGAAGCACAACAGATTCCGTGTTTGTCTTACTGTGAAGTTGAGCGGGTACATGCCCGTGACCGTGAGACGTACCTGTGCACCACTGAGTTTTCCTTCGTCTGTCCAGATCTACACCGCTAATGACAAACATTCATTCCCCAACTGACATCTCACATACTTAATGTCACATATTGTGAATTTTTCCCTGCTGCTTTGTTGCACCTATCTCAAAATAAAGATGACCCATGTCATCCAGCAACTTAGCTGAAAAATTCAAGTACATTTGAGCCTTCATGGTATTTATTTCAGCTCCGGCCTTAATGGAAATCGAGTTATTGTTGGACTACAGAGTAACTCTAACAATTTAATAGCAATTCACTCAGTTTCCATGTAATTGCTATATATGTCACAGCATCAGGCAATAACAAATAAATATATAATGGGAATGGTCTTGTGTCCTACCAGAGTGGCTACTGATGATCATATTCAGTACACTGGAAAACGTTCCTCACCTAATTTACGCTTTGGCTTAGAAGACAGAAATAATGCCATGAGGTACCAGTCCAACAAATTAAAGGCAAATAAGGTCATCAGCCAGTTCTTTAATTCTGGACATCACAAACACTCCTTTCTACATAAAGTATAAGCTTATTTTCTCTATTCTCAGGCAAATTTCATACAGAAAGCCCATCAACAGGAGGAGTTCATGAGGATAGTATTTTGCAGATCCTAAAATGTAGGTGCCCAAAGTAAGACAAAGCTGTTTTAAAGCCATCAGCACCCGATCTTTTTTTTTTTTTTTTTTTTTTTTTTTGTGGAAATGACTGGAAAACCTCAGAGATCTCTCGAGCCTCGGAAGTCATTAGACAGACAGACTACCCCTAATAATTTAAAGGAGGAATGGTCAATCAGTGACTCCGGAACATCTCAAGTACAGCGTTACAGCTAAACCAGATTGCAGTTACCTCACAACCATCACTGGGGCTGTGCTGGCGTGACCATTGCTGGGTGACCCACCTGTCCCACTGTGGGAAGGAGCCAGACCTTGGGTGCTGGAATGGACACTGACGAATCATTGGTCTGACCTGCTCCACAAGGGAATTGGGGAACTATCATCATTTCTACTTGTGAAGTGCTCCAAGAGCTATTAACTCTTGTATCTCTGAAGTACAAGGTGTGTGTTTCATGGCTCTCACCCACATGAAGATTTTAACACGCAACTCATTAATCTGGAAAACTGGTTGCCCGGCACTTGAGTAGATTAGCAGATTTCAAAGGGTTCTCTGCTGCCCTGGATATTTTTTCCATGGGCACTCCAGTTCGGCTCCCTCCCATGTCCACATTTGCTGAGGGTGATGTTGACCTCTGAGTAAATTGATCTCTGCTAGACTATGTTACATTTTACAAAAGACTGCAGCTAAAGAAAGCCGGTGAACTTCTCTACCATCGCTAGCCTGATACAATTGTCTTCTGATGAGATGAAATGTTTCTGGTCAAAAAAACAAGTTGCCCAGCAGCATCTTCTCAGACTAAGAACGCTAGCTTGGGACATGCAGGGCAAAGAGAAAAGAATCAATACAAAGATTAGAAAATTCAATGTTGTGGCTCAATACCAAAGTCTGAGATTTCAAGTGCCACTGGGCTGCAATGACAGACACTTACCTGTCACGGATAACTTGGCTGATGCAATTGCTTCCCTGCAGGCAAAGGTCACCTCTCCGGAATGATGCGGTTGGGCTTTTTTCAGAATAAGTTTGTATTTGTTTCCATTTGCTTGTACCTCCCAGTCCTCATCCGACTGGAGCTCTATGTCATTACTATACCAGGCAACTTCATTAATTGGCACAGCTTCACTTAGAACGCAGCTAAATGTAGCTTTCTCCCCCGGAGAGACTTCCACATCTGTGAGAGGCTGCAAGATCTGTAGGCGCCATCCTGTAGACAATAATAAATCAAGCCCTCTGTTACAGAAACAAAGACAGGCAAGAGATTTTGTGAATATTTTGGTGAAGCTCTGGACAGTCAGGCCTTGGAGACCAAGGAGATCATTAAAAGGGAGGTTATGTATATCACCAGAACACATGGTAGCACTGAGGACTGAAACTTTCCAAAACTTTCAGGAGCAAAAACCAAACCAGCAATGTCTTTCTTTCCCAAGTAACAGAAAATCCCAAGGGAGATACCATGGTATGACTGAAGATGGCAGTTCTTATACTCTGAAAGGGGTTCTGATCCCCAGAGGGGTCTCAGCAATAGCATAAGATACAAGGCTACAGAGACAATACTGTTGCTGATAGAACTCTCACCTCTAGAGCCCTGAAGCACCTACAAATGCAACCCAACTCATCAGGATAAAGACAACTGTAAGACAGTCATTTGCTGATAACTCATTGCCAACTGATGATGCTTATATCTGTGTCATGGCATACGCAACAAGAAAAAAGGGAAATTGGAAAACATCTTCCATTTATTGCGTGGGAGGAAGATTTAGATAAGAAGCAAGCAACAAATGTGACTTTTCCTCTCTGCTACTCGTCATATTTTCCTGGCTCATTTGCACTTTCCAGCCAGAAATTTAAGACTCCCCACGCACAAGTGCTTCAGTTACCTTTCACCGTCAGGAAGGCTGAGGTCACCGCGTCGCTGCACGTGAATGTCACCCTGCAGCTGTCTCGGGGAGTGAGGTTCTTCAGCAGCAGAATATGTCGGCGCCCATTCTCAAAGTAAACCATCTCAGTGTTTTCTGTAGTTTTGGCAGGTTCATCGTCAATCAGCCAGTTGTAATTGTAGGACTCGGGCTTGGAAAGGTAGCATTCGAACAGGGCTTCCCCTCCTTCCACGGCTTCCACATTCTCCAAGCCCTGGACAATGCTGTTCTTGGCTGGCAAAAAAAGGATGACGAACAGTATTAATTGTCTGGCTATGCAATATTAACAAGACTCGGAGCACTGGATGATTCCCACTGCTGGAAATCTGATGGAAAGGATGTGGATGCGATAAACTGCACTTGTAGGCTTTGTTGGTAATTTCAACCATGCTCTAACACAAAACTATAGGTGTAGAATCATGGAATGGTTTGGGTTGGAAGGGACCTTAAAGATCATCGAGTTCCACCCTCTGCCATGGGTGGGGACACCTCCCACCAGCCCAGGTTGCTCCAAGCCCCATCCAACCTGGCCTTGAACACCTCCAGGGATGGGGCAGCCACAGCTTCTCTGGGCAACCTGGGCAAGGGGCTCACCACCCTCAGAGTGAAAAATTTCTTCCTAATGTTTAATCTAAACCCGCCCTCTTCCAGTTTGAAGCCATTCCCCCTCGTCCTATCACTACATGCCTTTGTAAACAGTCCCTCCCCAGCTCTCCTGTAGCCCCTTTAGGTATTGGAAGGGGCTCTAAGGTCTCCCCGGAGCCTTCTCTTCTCCAGGCTGAACAACGCCAACTCTCTCAGCCTGTCCTCACAGCAGAGGTGCTCCAGCCCTCGGATCATCTTCATGGCACTCCAAAAAAACCTTTTAAGCAGTGAGACAGTTTAAAAATAATGATAAATAAACCTCTAGGACCTCTAGCATTTCATCTAGACTTCCTCCAGAAACCTGACTTCGGGTTTTACAAATAAAGTAAAAAATGTCAGTGTTTATATGAATCAGGCCAGTAATTGATAGGAAGGGATAGCTCAGGAAGATAAAGTATCATCAAATTCCGCCGGTCCCACAGCAGGAAGCATTTCCCACAGATCTCCCAGGCAGCGCAATTATCATCATAACCGGGGAGATGTGAATCCATGGAGAGCTCACGACAAAATCTTACTATGTTTCATGCAAAGCAAAGGTGAGAGAATATTACAGCCGAGAAAGCTACAGCGACTGTCATCTGAGCGAGCGGCACATCTGCAGGTCTGCCTCGAGGGAACACACAAAATATTAAAATCTGCATTAACAGCATTTTAAATAGCAAATTTCTGAATTGTTACAGAAGCTCTGTGATAATGCATTTGGTTTATTTTCCCGTGCGTGTGGGGTGAATTGTGCGGTTGGAAACATGCTCGTATCCACACGCTGCATTTGCCTGCGGAGTCGTGCATCCATCAGCGTTCGTACAGAAGCAATCAGCCTGACGGAAAATTAAACGTGGGCTGGTGCATGCGAATATAATTTGTGTTAGACCAGCTACATGGACAAATTACATGCACAACGGTGGGAACGCACGGTTGAGTAAATACATTTTACAGAAATATCATAAAACAGCCAGCACGATCTATAATATAAACCAACGCCCTGAGACATTCTTAATTAGATCCCTATAACCATTATCTGAAGTGTTCCAAGAAAAAAAAAAAAAAAAGCTGAACAATTTATTTAATAGCAAAAAAAACACCAAACATGAGTTACTAAAAAAAAATAATCTATATTTTATAATATTCATATTTATGGAGAAAAATGAGGGGTAAATCCTTGGAGAGTATATAATTTTGTTAGAACAAATCTGAACTGTTTATTTGTGCACTTTTGGAGCATTGGTTTCCCTAACTAAGGAAGGCAGATAATTACAAATCCTGCCTCCTCTGGGATGCTTTTAGATTATGTTCGTTAACATCTTTTTAAATCCCTAAAATGGAAAGTACTTATCGATGTAGAAAATATTATAATAAATAATACCCTGCTCTTCTGTGCTCACACCTCTGATTAGACAAGAAGGCATAATTGCCTAACGAAACACAAAAATTCAGAAATCAAATCAGAACCCCTGTTCTTGCTGATCACATTAATTCAACTGGTGAACAAAAACAATAATCCCATGCACAGCAGAAAAAAAAAATAAAATCCTAAACCTATTTTTAATTTTTGATTTGCTGTTTCTCAAAAATGCTGATGAGAAGGAAGAAGAGAGTTCCTTGTGTGATCAGTATTTGAAATAAGTAAAACACCAAGCTACCTTAGCTTAGCTGAAAATAAATTGAAATTCCACACTATCCATTAGCTACTGGTTTTAAGGCACACCGTGTGTAAAAAGCACTCCGTAACACCAAAAAAATATTCTTATTATTTCTTTGGACCAACATTACACTGTGACTTCACAATAATTCAGTAGGACACATCCCATTGCACTGATGTTGCGGTTCATTGTAGAAGAAGTATGATGCGTAAGTGGTGTAATTAGTGAGCATTAATTAGAACTAAGCTCCAGTGAAACACTGCAGTTTCATATCCAATACCCATTAACTCCCAACTATTTTTATCATCGTTATCAGTACTGGAGTGAACACCAAAGAGCGGGTAGCTGATGTGTCGCTTATTGTGAGACGCTGCCATGATTTTTCCACCTCTTATTTGGAACCCATGATAGTCTTCCTCTTTGGCTGGAAGACCTCACCTTGAACATCAAGTGCAGCCATCACTTTAGTGCCTTCAGCTTCACAAGAATAGATGCCAGTGTCTTCTGGTACCGTAGGTTTAATTTTTAGCATGCTTACATTCCAGTCCTGATCGATAATCACTCGCTGCCCATCTGCATGTATTTCCTGATCATTTTTCTTCCATATGGCGTGTACTGGCCTAGAATATTGGCATATGAACTCTGCTGTGCCATCTTCATCAACAGTTATATCCTGCATGGGACTGACCACTTCAATGGTTGGATCTGTTAACCAACACGTCAGGAAGGACATGCATTAGTGGATCCTCATGGAAATGGCAACTTAGAGATTTTTCGACAAGCTCAGAGCCTGCGGGGAGCAAGCAGAGTGACCGTGCAAGCAGGGAGCTGACTGGGCACACTGGGGATTAGCGGTTTAGTCTGCGCTTGTGTCAGCAACAAGCAGGATTGAAGCAAAACTGGTACATTAGAATATAACCATCACACTGGAAAACGGGCCACCGGCAATTAAGGCTTGTGCTTTAACAGTCCTGAATATGAACTTCTGTGCAGAACATCTGCTGGGGTTGCCTCCAGGCTTAGTTTTTTCTCCCAGCGTTGCTGACATCCTCTAGATTAGGAAGCACTGGAGGCAAAACACTTCTGCTTCCCAGAATGTGGCAGGAGCTCAAGTGCGAGACAGGGGACTGCAATGGATGGACTGCCCTGAGCGGTTCCCCGTAACTCTCAACCTCAACTAACCATGGGAAAATGCCACAAACTCTACTGGAGGCTCCTTGTATGAGCAAACTGCAACCACTCCTTGGAAAGAAACGCAATACTCAAATGTGAATACTCATTCCTGTCCTGAGGTGGTGATGGCCGTATGTCAGGAGTCATAGACAGCACGAGGAGCAAAGATGCAGGACAACTGTAACAAAAAAGGGCACTTCACAGAAGAGAGGAACTTATTGCTTTGATAGACCATGAGTTCCTCTGTGGCAGAGACAGATCTTGGGAAAAAATAATATGATTTCCTTTGCAGTGGCTGATCTAGAGATGCAGCATGGACCACTGCAATCTCAGATTGAGCTGAGAGCAGCTGGATATGCAGCTCGTCCGAAGAAGACGAGATCCATGAAGCTGCTTTTAAGCATCCAGTATTTCTTTTAAAGTGCTAGTTCTGCTTCTTGGGAGGCAGCTGCAGGGCACAGGAGAGATATCTAACCTCAAAATATTGTGAGCTTCCAAAGCAGCCAAGGAGTCCCTCCTGACATCTCAAATTGGACCACCTGCACACAACTGCAATATAGAGATATATGCTGAAAAGAAAAATCTCAATGAAGTCTGAAAATGGGATGCTGCAGAGCAACTTCTTCTTGGCAGAACTATGTCAACTTCCCCCCAAAATTGATAGGCCTACAACAGGACACGAAAAGATGAGAGTCAGAGAAAGCTGATATATGTCCTCATCTTTCAAATAGTTGTTCTGATAACAGGCTTTTGCAGCTAGAATTAACTACACTGGACCTCTGTCTGGAACGCTTCTCTTGAAATGTGGTGCATCAGGTTGAGGACTTGGGATGCTCCTAGCAGACATTGGGAAGCAGAGATAGTTTCGCAAAAGCTTTTGGGAAACTTGGTAACAAAAACTTCTGGAAACTTGCAAGGCTTGATCCTGCTCTCTGAGGCTCCCTCCACCACACTGTGTGTCTGCGTGTGTGTTTATGGAGTGGAGACATCAATGGCAGATCACGGAAATGTTTTGGTTACACCAGGACTGAAGAAACAAGAAGGTATTTGTGCAGCTGGAGAGTAGAATACCGTCTCCTTTCAGAAGATGCAGAGGTGCTCCTCACAGCAAACATCACCTGTGGTGCTGGAGAAGGAAGGTGTCCTGGTTCCACTGCACTATTGCTCTTTGCCACTGCTAGGCTAAGACTTTGGTGGCCCTATTCACCCACACAGAATGGCAGAAAGCTCCTTGGGACTTAGGAGCCAACGTGTACGTGGGGGGCCTGTAATTCCCACCCTGCCCAAGGGGGTCAGAAGAAGGCAGCAGCTACTTCAACCTTTTCCATTTTCACCCCACCCGTGTGTGAAGATGCCATCATACTGGGCCTCTGGATGAACGCAGCCGTAGGGCAATGATATTGTGACGGCCCAACAACAAAAGCTGCCGTGAGATCTCAGTTATTATAGAACATATCGTTACAAGCACGTCTTCCACCAGGAGAACGGGGCATATGGAACAGAGAGAAAGACAACTTGTTCCTTGGTGAAGAACAAGCCATGGACAGCTAGATAGACTGAAAAAGGCCTAGTTTGAAGACAGATCTATTTTTAGATTTCTGGAAAAAATAAAGTATATGAAATTGGCTGTTAATACAAGTACCATCAGAATTTTACTGGTGTTTACTTTCCCATTAAATCAAGTGTTACTGAGCACAATGTAACTGGGGTGTTTTTTCAATACCTTTCTCATCCTAATCCAAGTATAGTCATATATTACTGTGATTTGGGTTCACA